TTCTTCTCTCTCTCCTTCTTCTCTCTCCCTCCTCTCTCTCTCTCTCTCTTCCTTTTGTTTACAAGTCTCCGCGGACATCAAAAAATAAACTCCGTGAAAGAAACAAATTGAAAGCACAAAGAAAAAGAAGGTAGACCTACTAGCCGGAGCGGCAATACATTCGGACGAGAGAGCAACAAAAAAAAATTGATAATAATAAAATTTCAGATGAGAGTTTTGATCCAGCGTCTCAGCCTAATCAGACCGAGTGCGAGATCCGCTCGAGCCGAATCTGATCAGTTTCGTGAATGTTGTCGAGCGCATCGGTCCTGGAGGGGGACCCTCCCGATCGCATCACACAGGATTTTGCATGACTTTTTCGCAAGAGCGTTTGCCGCTCCGTTCGAGTGCGCCAACTGTAGAACCCCTACGATAGAGGTCACGTGAGGCACAACTTACCTCTACCCAAGGGGTTGTCACCACCCTTAGGTAGGCGTATCCCCAACGAGTTATCAAACCACATGTGAAAGCTTATCAAGTGCAATAGCAGAGGTGGCCCAGTCGAGGGTGTTTGTCATCCATTGTAGCATAGGGGGTAGGCGCAGTCGAACGCCTTGATTGGGCCCACGCGCGGACCTACGCTCTGGGGGCTGATCTCCCAAGCGTGGCTGTACTGCGATCGATTAGGATGGCCAATCTAACCATGCGACACCTCACAAAATAAAACCAAGTTTTGTACGTAAATCGCGCGTAGTCCTTTTTTTTTTCACTTTCAACCCATAACTTTTTGTCACCAGAAATGTCACGCGTGAGACTCTGAATAAATATTGCGAAGATGTAGGCTTTATCATATATATTAGCCATGCATGAACACGCAAGCAATCGCGATGATGGCGTACTATGTGGTGATCATAACCATGTGGTCCTCAATGATTTTGAGGGTCGCTTTCGACACTCAATTGTCGACTGACACTCGTCTTGAGAGGTTAATCTCATGCAGTCGCGAATGCAATTGTGAGTCCTACCCTGTTTTGCACACTGCTTAGAGGAGCAGTAGACGGGCTTCGAGCCTTTGTGGCGGCGAAACGCCCTTGACTCTTGGGAAGGGGCCCCATCTTCGAAGGCCTTGGAACAGGTCAAGGGTTTGACTTTGACAGCTGCCACGGACCTCAACGTCCAACTAAAAATTTAATAAGCAAAAATCAAAGGAAATTTCCCTTTTTCACTTATCCCAAATGTACCCAGCCCTCACGCATGATCAAAGCCGATCGCGCGAGTACACAATATGCAACGCAATGAAATTTGTTGAATATGAGGCGATCACTCTCACAATCACTGTGTGACTTCCTTCCAAATATGTAAATAATTGCAGGCAAGTCAAACCCTGACTTCAAATCACAAAGCATACCTGCAATCATGCAAAGATTCAACATCAACAGACCACATACTACACGGGGATCGCTTCAACTACTCTCTGCACTCACACCCTTGCCTTATCCACACAACCCCCAACCTTTGTCCAATGTTTCGAAAGAAAGCACTTATAATTTATTCTAGATTGAAATAAGAAAAATAAAAGAGCCCAATACATTGAAAAATGTAAGTGGAGTTCCAAAAGGTAAAAAACCCTTTTTTCAAGAATGTCTAAGGTTCGAATCCGTATAGCCCTATTTTGGTATATTGTGTATTAATTTTATTCAAAGCAATAACAAAATTAATTGAATAGTAATTAGCAATTTGGCACGCGTCTTGGGGTTTTGGGGTAGTAAGTGTTCATTAGATACAAATCAAAATATCTCAGATATCTGTCGAGCTTAACATAGATGGATGAAGAGGTGACATCGTTATTAATTCTGCTGCTAAAGCATTAACATCATTAAAAAATAGTCAACAAGTAACTCCTAAAGAAATTTTCATAGTAATTCGTTTGTGCTTACGACATTTTGTATTTCTTTTATATACTTATTTAAGTTATTTTATATACTTATATTTATATAAGAAAAAGAGATTCTCTTAAAATTATGAATTAATCATTTTTTATTATTATAATTCAAAATTTTGTTGAGGAATTATATGATTTTATTTGTATAATTTTAATTTTTATTTCTATAGAATTAGCAACTCCCACTAATGATATGAATACTACTGTAGCTTTGGCATTGCTTACCTCAATAGCATATTTTTATGCAGGACTGCGTAAGAAGGGCTTAAGCTATTTTGGAAAGTCTATTTAACCAACTACTATTTTATTACCAATAAATATTTTTGAAGATCTGTTTATTTATATGAATGATATTTATAAAAATTATGATATATAATATTTTCATTATCTATTTTTATTTATTTTAAAATTTTAATCTATATTTTAATAAATATATTATAATAATGTAATTTATAATAATGTAATCAGGGTTGTCGGCGTTCAGGACAGGTCGAACGCTCGAACGTTCGACACCCCCTCTCGAGGCGTTCGGTTGTTCGACCGAACGTGGACCCAAAAAAAAAAAAAAAAAAAAAGAATTCCAAAAATTCTTGTGTGGGGATTCGGGCCGCCTAGATGACCGGCAGGGGTCGGGGGAGGTCCCGGGCGGCCTGGCCGGGCAGGGCACCCGGTTGGGGGCCGGGCCCCCCCATCGCACTCACTTGTCAGGGGATTTTGGACCCCCTGTGTATGTGTGTGTGTGTGTGTGTGAGAGAGAGAGAGAGAGAGAGAGAGAGAGAGAGAGGTGTTCGAATCATACTTGCAGCGCATCTCATGCGCGGGGTGCCGCACGCGCATGCATGCACGCACAAGTGATGCGTCCATTAAAAAAGTAGAAAAACAAAAATGTCCTAGTTGTGTCCAGCCTCTTTTCGGAAGGATCCCTACAACACATTAGCTAGGACCCGACGTCATGCAGGGATGCACTTCAAACTTGTACTCCCTGAGGGTGGGCAGAGAATATATAGTCTGGATTCGAATTCAGGTTTGTGCATATCGGTTATGGGTCACAATTTCTTTGTTTTCTCGCTTTTCTTTTCTTTTCTCGTTTTTCTTTTCTTTTCTCGTTCTTCTTTTCTTTTCTCGTTTTTCTTTTCTTTTCTCGTTTTTCTTTCCTTAGGATTACGTGCAGTGGCCCTAAGGGCCTCTACTCACCAAATGCACAAAAGACAAAACGTATGGTGGCATATTATTCCACGTTCTGCAGAAGATTGGTTCTAATTTTGCACGTTTCGTGAGTAGTGCAGCCAAGCCCTAAGAGTCACGTGCAGAGACCAACAGGGCCTAGCTACGTGAGCAACCCATAACTGCAGAAACACAAACCTGAATTTGAATCTTGAGTATATATTCGGCCAGCTCGTGCTCTATTTCATATTCACTGCCTGCCTCGATTTTGGTGGGGGGTTTTGCGCTACATGTCTGCAAGGACCCTTCAGATAGCCTGCATGGGCCGTCTGAGCCGTGTTAAGGGGATCCGTTCTCTCTCTCTCTCTCTCTCTCTCTCTCTCTCTCTCTCTCTCTCTCTCTC